TGTGAATCAAATTAAATATAAAATTTGCCAAATATCAAATCACTAATTTTCGTAAAGTCTTTTACAAGATTTTTATTATAATAAGCAATAATATTAAGTGAGGTTGAATATATTTTCGATTTGGTATAATAGTCCAAAAGAATTGTTACAATAGATTTTTTTTAAATTCAACTTTGTTATTATTACAAGGTGGTAAATATCAATTTCTTCAAATTAATTATTTTATAAAGAGGATTGATAGAGAAAGTGAAATTAAATTTTTTAATTAAAAACTATTTAATATGTACTTGAGAATTATGATATATAAGCAGAAGTCATCAGCTTGCTTAATATAAAAAGTATTATCAATAATTATAAATTCTACTTTGTTAAATACCTAAAAAATATTGTAATAAATTTTTATTTGAAATCTTGTCCTATCAATTTGGATAAGTTATTTTTTTGATTATTTTACTTATTTTTATTGAATTTATTAACTTTTTTTAAGTTAAATTTAATAGATAATGGTATTACAGATATGTAATTGGTGAGAAAACATTAAAAAGTTATTTTTATGCTATATGTAAAACTACAAATATTTAGATTGGCAATTATAATATCTCAAACTATTTCAGAAAAAAAACTGCAGTACAAGTTCTAAAAGAACTTAGATACTCAGATTCTATTATAATATTAATAATACAATACAAGTTTCCAAAGAGTCTTGCTACATATAAATGACTAAAGTTAGTGATACAATATAAGGATTTTAATAGATTTTTTAAAGTGTTAATACACTTTTCAAATAAAGATTGAAAAGTAAAATCTGTACAAATTCTGTTATTTTAATTTAAAAATTAAGCTAATTAATTAGTTTTTTTTTATTTTTTAGATAATGCTAATAAAGCCAATATCACTTTCAAGACCAATATCACTTTCAAACCAATATCACTCCCAAAGCCAAGGTTGTCTCTAAGGCCAATATTATCTCTAACACCAATATTGCCTCTAACACCAATAATATTACTCTTAAAACCAATGATATTATTCCTGAAACCAATAATGACACCTTATCAAATAGCAGGCTTGTTCTTGCAAGTTTGTATTATACTAAATTACAAGTTTTGTTAACAAATTATTTTAATGATCTTGATGTTATGCTTTTAAAATAATTGTTTATTTGCTGTACTGTTTGAACATAACCAAAATACTCCAGAACAAGTATTTGAAGATCGTGAAAAGGATCAAAAAAAATCAAAAAAATAAAGAATTTGTTGAAAAATTTCTTACTGGAAATGCATTTTATAACTAAACCTTTAATTTTTAATATTAAATAAATAATATAAAAATTATTATTTGCAATGTATAAATGACAAAACATTAAATAAATGTAAAAATTATTATTTGTAAGAATATTGCTATTTATCGCCAGTGGCGATATCGCTGGGGATACATATCTCAAAAACCTACTAGCTAACACATGTCGAAGATACTAAGTAAAAATGTTCAGGACCCCCAAAAACCTAACCCTAACAAAGATTTGGACCTTTATA